TCATCCAATGTATTTTTAATGCTGGAATTTAGGTCGAATACTATATCCGGTTAAACTAGAACCGGTTAAGTTATTCAGAGACGTGTTTTCCTCAAGACACGATCCATCAATCATTTTATACCCAGGTCCTCTATTACTGTTGGGTGAACAGTGGCGAACGGTGAAGAAACTGTGGCAAGTCGTTCCAAAAAATTCCAAGATTCAATACTCCTGGTTTCAGATGTATCAAAGAGCCAATCTTCACCTTGTCGATATCTTTAAGTAAACAAATCCACAAGGGCCGTGGCGAGGATTCGAACCTGCGTCCTGGAGCATCCCAGACACTGCCTTAATCGACTGAGCTACGACAGGTTCGAATCCTCGTCACGGCCCTTGTGGATTTGTTCATATGATGCATCACGTTATTGTGATCTCTGTGTGTGATCTTTAAGTATTTTGTACGTAGTGCCCACGTACTCTCTATGTCCGATTCTCCTGTTTAGTGGGAATTCGTTATATCTGCGGACTTTTCCAAAGTTTCCTTATATACTTCTGAAAGAGTTCACGCCGTGCTAGCCCTGCATACTTCAATACTGGTCTCACGTACGTGTGAACAGTATTCCGAATGATTCCTTAAGGATGACCTAATGTTACCGAGTGTGCTTCAGCCTCTTAGCTGGATTGTGTGTGATTACTGTTTAATTAAGGGCAGATTGACGACTGATGGATAACTGATTAAGTTAACATTTGACTGAAGGTTTTGTATTCAAGTATCTATTATGAAATGCATCAAAAGTCATAAAAAAGGAGAAAAGTTCGCGACATTCACATTTGAAAGTGTTTGAAGACGATACAAAATAAATTATTCATATACAATTGGACTCTTAAAGCCAACTGAAAAGAAATTAATGCAATGTAAGCAATACAAATGTAATACACTAAAACAATATACACATGCCAATCAGGTGGTTACTTTGGTCAGTCAGGTTAAGCAGCACTGAGTGTGGACAGTAATTAGACCTGTGATCAAGTCTATTTACTGTCAAGTCAAGTCATCTCCCTCTATAGGTCTAGCAAGCGTTCTGACACCCTTGACACCCTCTTCCCCCCCCCCCTCCGTCAACTGTGTATAATACGTACAAGATCTCTTAGTACAGCTGCCTTCGTTCTCGACTCACAATCGGGGATCCCTAGTTCAATTCCCAAGGAGGGACAGAAATAGTTGGGCACGATTCCTTTCATCTAATGGCACTGTTCACCTAGCAGTAAATAGGCACCAGGGAGTTGGAAGACTGTTATAAGGGACAGCATCCTGGGAAGGATCAGTAGTTCGACCTTAGGCCGGATGGGAACCTCGATACAAACCTAAAAAATATATATATACACAGGCATCCTATCCGACGAATCGAATAAAGTATGATAAAGTAACAAAGGACGCGAGGAATAACTGGAAGGTGCCACCTGGCAACCCTTTCAGGAAACAAATGCCAAAACCGAGACATCGTGTATACCGTTTCCAAACAAGCTGAGCGTCACGTCGAGTCGTTTTGACCATGAAGCTTTTCTTGCGATTGTCATACGACAGGAGGATTCTACGTCCTATTGCAGTTTAAACCGGTGGAGACAACGCGATTCTTGCAGTTTTTTGCGGCTTTGGCACACGGGATAATTTTGTCGTCGTTACCAGGTAATCTAATGGAAAATTATTTTGTGTACCATTTAAGTTTGGTCGAGTGACACTAGGACATTGAAGACGCTTTCCTTTGAAATTCCCTTTCAAAGAAAATGAAAAATGACGCGTGTCAAGGATTCTCAATGGGTGACTATTATATAAATATATACGAGCTGTTATGCTTCTCGTACAGACTCTCAATACAACTCTTCGTACCACTTATTTTTATCAGCTTTCTCTTATATTGCTCCTGTATAACAAATCTCTAATTTCCACCACTTTCCCTCATCTGTATGCGTAACTTCTAAGACTTTACAAGCTATTCACTTTAATGACATACACCACTTTCTCCAGCACACACTTTATACGGCACTTCTACAGTACAATACTTAATAATACCGTTCATAAATATTAATTTCTTACGACTGCTTAATACTATTTTATATTTTTTCCTATAGTTTATCTGTTAATAATGCTGTATTCGTGCCCGTTGGTGTTATTTAATATATATAAAGAGTCTGAATCTGAATATTGTTGGGGCCAAAATTCTAATTCTGTTTAGCCCCAGAATTATGCCCGTGTGTGTATACTAACCCTGAGAGGCGGAACGTTAATGGTTACCTGGGATGCCATTATGTCTGACCTTGGGTTCATCTGTGACTCAAGCTCTTCCGTGGATGAAATCCGGCCACGAACCTTCTCCTCCACCCCTCCCGCAGGGCGTGGATACCGTCACCCAGCAAGCCAAGTGTTGTAGAATGCAGAGTAATTTGGCGGAAACTTGAACTCGACTGTTTTGCAAGCGCATGGATGTGTGTGTGTGTGTGTGTGTGTACTCACCTAGTTGTGTTTGCGGGGGTTGAGCTCTGGCTCTTTGGTCCCGCCTCTCAACCGTCAATCAACAGGTGTACAGATTCCTGAGCCTATCGGGCTCTGTCATATCTACACTTGAAACTGTGTATGGAGTCAGCCTCCACCACATCACCCCCCTGTGTGTGTGTGTGTGTATTTACTGTTTGTGTCTGCAAAATCGAGCTATTAGCTTTTTAGACCCTATTTTTCCACAATTATGTCTACTACATGTATTTCTCTCTAACATACACACTTCCCCAAGAAGCAGCCCGTAGCAGCTAACTCCCAGGTACATATTTACTGTTAGGTGAACAGGGTGTGTGTGCGTGTATGTATTCACCTAGTTATGCTTGCGGGGGTGGAGCTCTGCTCTTTCGGCCCGCCTCATAACTGTCAATCAACTGTTACTAACTACTATTTTTTTGTTCCCCCCCTCCCCCATACACCCCCAGGAAGCAGCCTGTAACAGCTGTCTAACTCCCAGGTACCTATTTACTGCTAGGTAACAGAGACATCAAGGTGAAAGAAACTCTGCCCATAGTTTCCCACCGGTGCCGGAAATCGAACCCCGGTCCACAGGACTACGTAACCAGCGTGCTGTCCACTCAGATATCGGCGACTCGAAGATGTGTGTGTGTGTATGAGAGAGAGAGAGAGAGAGAGAGAGAGAGAGAGAGAGAGAGAGAGAGAGAGAGAGAGAGAGAGAGAGAGAGAGAGAGAGAGAGAGAGAGAGAGAGAGAGAGAGAGAGAGAGAGAGAGAGAGAGAGAGAGAGAGAGAGAGAGAGAGAGAGAGAGAGAGAGAGAGAGAGAGAGAGAGACCTGACTTGCATGGGTCCACACCCCACACCTGGGAATGAGGGAGCGAGAGAGCGACCTTGAGGGATGCCATCCACGTCTGGTTCACTCCCTCAGCCTCTCGCCCTCACCGTCCCGTGCGACGCCCCGCTTGCAAAACGAATATGGAACACCGTGCCGCTTTGCAATCAAAGTAAGGCAAAGAGCATCCTAAGCAATTTCTCGTCTTAAAATAATATTATCCTGAACCTATAAATAATCTTGCTACAATAATAAAGGTTAATATATATACGTCACACACACACACACACACACACACACACACACACACACACACACACACACACACACACACACACACACACACACACACAGTTTACGAATGCTGGGTCCCAGGGGTGTTGGTGGGGGCTATGATGGAGGAGAATTGTTACCGTGAGGTCAAATTATTTGGCTTTAGAGATGATGCATAAGGAAAGATAATGTAGCCAAAGGAAAACACACTCATCAAAGCCTGATCACCACAATCATCAGAACGTTAATTCTCTGGGCTGAAGGAACCAGGGAGGGGGGGGGGGTGTCAAATAATCGCGATAAAGGGTCAAATAATCGCGAAAAGGGTCAAATAATCGCGAAAAAAGGGTCAAATAATCGCGAAAAAAGGGTCAAATAAACGCGAAAAAAGGGTCAAATCCTCCTGATCAAACTGTGGTGAAATCAGGTTTTTGGGTCAAATTAACTTGTTAAGGGACTGAAGTAAGTGTACTCAACAACCCAAGTTCTCGTCTTCAGGAGCTAATCATCGAGGTGAGAGGAGTGAACACCGGTCATGTTGTTGTTCTAGATTTAGTTACTCAGAACGAAGTGTCCATGTAGCACGGGCTATGGTGAGCCCGTAACGGGTCATATTCTGAAGGTCAGCTATAGGAAGAGGGCGAGTTTCAGGCAGTCAGCGCTCATCAGCCTCGTACTTCACGATGCGGCAGAACACACACATTACAGAGGGAGGCGGATTACAGAGGGAGGCGGATCACAGAGGGACGCGGATTACAGAGGGCCGCGGATTACAGAGGGACGCGGTACACAAAGAAATACGGACGAATATAAAGAAACTGATGGTTACAAATAATGAGCCAAAAACAGACAAACGGTGAACCACGTAAGAACACTATAGGAATGAGGAAGGAATGAAGAACACAACTGTATACTGATGAGCACGAAGGGAGAACACGGAAGAACACGGAGGGACACGGCTGACCTTCCTCACGGAGCACGTCACCATCCACACTACCATCCTCGGCTGTTCACCATCGTTCATTATTAGTTTAGCGCCGATTCTTTCTCTTAAACAGAAAATCACGAGAGATCACTTGACATTCCGTGACGCCAAACTCGGAGTGTCCTGGGCTAGGCCTAGGTGACGGGGAAGAACCTAGCAACTAGGTTCCTTCCTGTCTTGCCCCTCCAGACCGGGTTCTGTACCGTCCTCGTCACGAGAGGAAATATGAGCACACTGTACCATAGATTCCTTTGTTTTTCTCCTGTATAAAACTCTTCTTTCCTGATATCTGATCATCTAGGTACATATAAAAATACATGCATGTATACATTTATATATATATATATATATATACACATATGTATAATGTATATATGCTTTATATATGTATGAGAGAGGCATACATGTATGGCAGTAATGTACCTGAATAGGGTAGGGTGGGGGGTCCTGGTTTAGAGCCACCATGGCGTCGAGAAGTGAACACAAGTGTCCAGAGGTAGCGTCTTTCACTGCCGGTACACAGTCGAGGACTGCAACAACACTAACACCGTTTACAGTGCCTGAGTGGACTGGAGTCCTTGCCACTCCACCATATTTATCTCCTTCGACCTGTGGCTCCTCCCCCCGGCGCGGCAGACTCCGCCCCCTTCGTGTGCCGGAAACACTTCAACTCGCTTTGTACCCACAAGAAATGTCCTTAAAGATATCCGTGTTGTTTATGGCTATATAGACACTCAATCAAGTGAATAATTGCTTAAATGTCTACTATTAAACGTCATATAGCTTAAGTAAAAGAACCGTGACGTCATCGCGCGTCACGGCTTACCTGGGAGCGAGGCATCCAATCACAAGTGACGTATCGTCAAATCGCGTTTTTGATTGGCCGGAAAGACTTGGGCCGCATTGCGGGTGAATGTTGAGTGAGGATAACAGGTGACAGCACTTGCGACCAGGCCAGCCCAGGTCGCGGACACGGCCAACAGATGCTCCTCTCTTGTCCTGTGAAACCCAGGCACGTGGGAGGCTCCAGGACCCGTTTATCGCTGACCCAGAGGGCGCCTTACTGTCCTACATCCTCTCCGGATATTACTCATGTTCTTATCTCCGTCGTAAATCCTGCAGTCTCGAAAAGAAGCTTTGGCGACGAGGGAGGTGTGAGCAGGGGTCCCAAGTGGCCTAGGTAGCCGGGCAGAAGGGATCCAGGTCCAGCTACCTGGGCAGGGTTCAGGACCCTACCCTTGCCCGTAGCCACACCCAACACCGGAAGTAGCCATCGAACGAGAACAAAAAACCGTGCAAACACTTTGCTGAAATCTTAACCCCAGTGTAAACAATTCGTCCTTCGCCGTTATAAGGAGAGACGTCTGAATGGGCTACCAAGTAGTCACAGTCACACTACAGCCACAGTTCTGTTACCTCTACCGGAGTAAGTCTTGAGCCGATCAAGTAATCTGCCACTGCTGGGGCAAGCTGGTATTTGGGATGTTGTTGTTATAGATTCAGCTACTCGGAACAAGTTCCAAGAAGCACGGGTTATGGTGACCCCGTAGCTTACCTGGCACAGGAGCGGGGCAAGTAGCACGGGCTATGATGAGCCCGTAGTGGACTTACCTGGCACGGGAGTGGTGCTCGTGAGGTATTTGGCCACTAACACAAGCAGTTATATTCCCAGGGGTGAGCACGTGGGGCCGGAGTTTCCCAAGAGCACGAATGTAGATGTAGTACTCACCTAGTGTATTCAAGTAGGTCGTAGGAGAATGTTGCTTGGCATTCCACTTGAATAAAGGCCATATGGAATTTGAGTAAAATTAAAAATAGTGGACATATTTTGTCTATCCAGTAAGTGTATTAATAGTGTGTGACGGGTGAGGTTGGTGTGTAAATGGGACTGGTGAGGTCTTAGTGGTCAAGTGGGCGTAGTGGTACACACCTAGTGGGTGGTAGGTGGGTTGTGGTGCCAGGTGTGTATGTGGGCCATGTATGGCTATGATGGGTATTGGGTTAGCAAGTGTTGGTGGGCCTAGAGTGGCGAGATACGTAGATAGGAACGATGGAGGTTGTAACAAGCGTGTCGGTGGGTGGAATAATGTAGGAAATACGGTTATAAGTGTGGTTATAGTGGAAGACTTCCTGTGTGGATGTGAATGTTGTGGAGGAAAGTGTACAGATGTGCTTGGTGGAGGCATCAGCATGTGTGTTAATAACCGAGGTCTCCCAACAAGGTACTGCAAAGACTTGCTAAATTCACCGCGTCACCCATTATTCCTCCCTGACCTGCTCAGCGCAGCTCAAGGTTACTTTAAAAAAAAAATCCTCCTCTCATGCGAAATTATCTCCGTTTTTCCTAGTCAGGTTAAGCCCCCTTTTTACCCCGACACTGAGATACTCGCGGCAGCATCCCCAAGCCAGCCTCTGCCGCCACATCTGGTGTGTGTGTGGAGGTGTGGTCGTCGTGGCGGTAGCACGGGGAGACGCCGCCGCCGCCAGGTGAGTGACCACCACCACCCGTCATAGGCAACCTGCTCCTTAAACTAGTTCCAGCCAGCTAGTGTGGCGGCAGGTATAGGCTTTCACGGGAGTTACCAGAGGCGCTCGCGCGATAACCCACACACACGCGCGCCCCCCCACGGAGTCTCAAATCTAGATACAAGAAGCATAAAGGGTCGAAAGCTATTTGCGACAGGCGACTAAAGAGCAAGATCCAAAAGCAAATTGCAGCATTGATGAGCTAGTTACAGAATTTCTCAATATACTCTATACAACAGCTCAATTGACTACGAACCTCGCATCTGCCGTGCGGACGGGCGAGGGACAGATTACAGTCACAAAAGATGTTCAGGAACTATACCCCTTATGTTCGTTTAGCTAGGCCGAAAGTTCTTGTGTTTAATCCTTGTGTTAAACTGGTTTCAGTAACCTTGCATTTGCCTATAACGAATCCTTCCAATGGACGGCGGTGGAAGGATAACAACTACACACTGAATTATACGCTATTTTACTATAGATAATCTTGAAATACTAGGATAAGATTTGGGGAATTATTAATTTTTGAGGCGAAATATTTACACATTTTAAAAAGGTTACTAAGAGAATTCTCTAAATTATTGAATTTCACGCCATGTTCACAGTCGTCAGACGGCTGTGGGCAGCGTCATGTTCACTACGAACATGTTCATTATGATTAAATTCATTATAGTTATATTCACTACGGTTTGGCACCTGGTAGGCACAATGGGGTCTCGTGTTACCTAATACGATCCTGCATTTTGTAACATTTTCAATGACAAGTTCACTTTAAAATCAAAATATCTTTAATTTTACAAATGTTGACCGACTACATCGAAGTGGACAAAATACACTGAACAAAATCAAACAATACTGTATTTCGTAGTGCAGGCGACATTTAGGCTGCCAGGGCAAGCAATCTTGTTTTTATAACCGCCCATCGTGCTCACATGAATAAAATATTTGAGATACCTCGCAACGCGATATATTTATCGAGAATTTAACATTTGAAAAGAGAATCAATTCTCGTTTCTGAGAAGGCAAAAACAAAGAGTATTAGCACTCAAAATGGCAGTAGGAAAACAGTTATTTATTGAGCAACTAATCAAGTGCGTCTTGCTGGCTCCTCCGCCGGCAGCGCCCCAATATTGCACTAAAAACAATGACGAAACTTGTCCAGCCTCTAGTCGGACCTAGAACCTCCTGTACTACACACACACACACCCCCATGGAGACAGCCCAGCCTAGCGACCTGTGTATTCCAGCTCCCACGCGACGGCTGCATCTCACCAGCATGTCCCTCCCCCGTCACGCCTGTCGTCTTGGCCAGCCCCAGCTTGTTCGCAGCACCGAGTGCCTTCGGCTGCAGGTACAGTGGGCAACGCGGCCGTGTTTGGCGCGGGGGAGCAAGGCAGAGGGACCGACCACGTGGCGGGCTTGTGAGGACCCACTGCCTGACATGTGCTGGCCCGGTGCTCCTGCCTCCAGCATGTTGCTCCTGTGCGCTGGGAAGTGTAACCGTGACCAATGTTTATTATTTTGTCGAATAACGATAAAAAATGTATTTCGTGTCGTATTTTGTTTTTTAGGTGTGTGTGTTGCAACTAAATTATTATTATATGATAATGATTTAGGATATGATTTACATCCATGATATAAATTATATATCATGGATACTAGAATTCTAGAGGTGGATATAAACTCCACCATTTGGGGAGGGTACGAGGTAGTGAGCCTCGTGGGAGCATCATGGCACCGCACTGTACCTGAAGGTTAGTCTATGCTTGGTCACCGAGTTTTGACACAAATTAATTATGTTTAACATTCCCCGGAGGTTATCAAAACAATGATAAGGCTTCCGAGCATTTTTACTGCGTATATACCCACGGCTCCACGACTACGGCAGAGATGAACGTGTATTAGATAATTTGAAGGGTGGAGCAGGCCAAATGATCAAGAGACACACTTGGAGCAAACTGAATGCTCAGTGCAATATTGCAACGACTTGTGCAACTGTGGTTATATAATAAGGTGTAATGAATAGTTTAAATACAACTATTATGAATAGTGTTTTTATTTGTGTAAAGGTGCAGGCGATGAGTCACAATAACGTGGCTGAAGTATGTTGACCAGACCACACACTAGAAGGTGAAGGGACGACAACGTTTCGGTCCGTCCTGGACCATTCTCAAGTCGATGAGAATTGTTGTGTAATTATCATTAATTATCAGGAGAAGGCGCTAGGTTAGAAAGACTATAAAGCTTGAAAGGGATACGATTACAAGGAGCTGGGATAGGAAGAAGGGAAGGAACGGGGCTCATTCACTTGACCCATTGGGGGATCGAACGCCAATCTGTAAGAACCAGCCTCGCAGCCCTTACTATCCAGAGAATTTGAAAACACTGATCCACTTTCGTCTGATCGTTCAATTTTCAATTTCTTTTCTTTATTATGCACCCCATACCCATCTCTTGGGCGGTGGTGGAAAGGGCTACAGAGGCACATAATCGGCTCAGGTTCTCGCAGATTTATGACGACAAAATTCCCATAAATGAAGTAAGTGCATCTTGGTAGGCATACAAAATAAAAATATATTCTCAAACGACTTGAGAATGGTCCAGGACGGATCGAAACGTCGTCGTCCCTTTACTTTCTAGTGTGTGGTCTGGTTAACATACAAAATAATATATAAACCAAACTGATTCAAATTGGATTTTAGTGGTTGGTAATACTCTTAAGAGAGCTTGTTTAAGCGCCCTAGTTATTGTTGGCCTCAGGTGTCACAGTTCGTCTTCACTGTCACACAGGACAGGGGGACCATACCCATGACAGCAGGCCTAAAATACTGAAGCACCGGACTGGGTATTTATGTTTGACATCGAAGCTGTTTACAATATATACTAAAAGGTTTAAACTATGTCTTGAAATAACTTTGGCAAAGTATACGTAGGTGAAACATTTGGAAACTTCACAGAGAGGGTATACGAACACCGAGAACCCTTATGGTCCATCACACACACACACACACACACACACACACACACACACACACACACACA